GGTCACAAATGGTGCTGGGAAGACTGGCCTGGAAGCCTGTGTGAAGACCTCATTTGGAGCAACTTTGTGTTTGACAAACTTTTGGTTTATTGACCACACACAGACAAGAACCTTCCTGTTCAACTGTGGCCTGTCAGCTCGGTACACAAACGGGACTGTGAGAAAGTCAGGCTAGTGTTTACCAAAGCCTTGATGTAACACCTCTGTTTCAGACATCAATGCCTCCACTGTCGCCAAGGGCATCTCCGCAGAGATGCAGTATCTCAGAAGTGTTTTCTCCAAGGTTGGGCTTACCATTTCTAAAAATACTCCCAGCAAAGGACATTTGTACAACAGAATTAAAGCATTTCTAACTATAAGAACAAGTAATTACATTACACTTCACTGTTGTATTATAACATTATTGATTGACTAATGTAACCTTGAAGCAACACTTTTCTTTAGTTTTCTTTTGAGCTCTTCCTGGACAATGAGCAGCTCAGTCCTGGTACTTTGTTGATTAGTTTCTTCATTACTACGTCCAATGAAACAAGCTTTCCTTCAAAGAGAAACTTAAAGCCACAGCAGGGTCACAGAGGTCACTTAAATAATCTCTCTTGATGATGTCCTGCTGATAGAGAGGCAGCCAGGCATCCCTAGTCAACCAGAGAGGAGGTGGCCATCCTCATCTCTGAAGACTGATTACATCAGGCCTCCCTCAGTGTACTCTGCACTCATCTGCCTCAACCACCTTCCAAACCTACACTCCCAGGGTGGAGCCCCTGTGGTCTAAAGAGTCCATTTTTAAAAGTTTGACAACTCAGCTGTGGGAGAGTTTCATCATTTCTGCTTTTCCATGGCCTTACTCCCCACTTCTACGCCAGAAACAGATATTTACACCTGGCTACAGAAGGAGATTAGTCATCGGAGAAACTGTGACGACTATTTCTAAGCACAACCCTTGTATTCAAGCTGTGTGTGACCAAGACGGTTAACCTTCATTTGAAATGATGCATCTTGCTTTTCCCATGCTACATGACTTTTATTCAAACCATCAGCCTATAATTTGCTGCATCTAATGTGGTTATGGACCAATTCTTATTAATGAGCAGGAATAATAAAGATTATACTGAGAATATTTTAGATAAAACCAAATTTAGGCATTATAGAACAGTAGATCATATACAATACATCTACAATGATGTAAAAAAAAAAAAACAACAACCACACTTTCGATCAAGGAGGATATAACAAAAGATTAAATCAAGAGTCAGTAACTGAGTTGATAAATCGTATTTCACTGCTGTTCAAAACCCATATTACTTCCAGATTACAACAAATGTAATCTGTAAACATATTATAATATAGAACATAAGTCAATTCAATCAAAACACACAGCTAGATAACTTTTGATTGATGAGGAAAAAATGTATCTTCAAATGGACTTTAAAAAAAAAGCCATTTGGTCTTATTTTTAATTTTCTTAAGTAATAAATATCTTTCATTCGATTATGGGCCCTGAAGAGTAATTGGATTTAACTGAAACTAGTATCAACTAGTTAAATCAACACTATTTAGATTGGTGCATCTATTGGATGAATTAAAACCCACCAAACATGAACATTAGTCTCAGTGCCCGCTGCCTCCTCTGGAACTCGAGATGGATTTTTATGAAAGGTGCAGTCGCAGTCTTGCAAAGCTTTTGATGGCGTCAGGGACGTTTAAAGGCAGCAGGGAGCAGTTGTGACTGTTGCACTCAGTGTTCATCAGCAATTCCTAACAGCAACTGGTGGCCCTTCAGCCACCCTAACAGTTGCCATGACATTGTTTTGTTTTTACGCTTCGCCCACGGGATGTGCCGTATAGTCAGCCATATACAGACGCTTCCAGGCAGCTTTGATTAAATGGATTATCTTTTAGTTTTAAAAGCTGGTGATAATTTACTGATTCCTGGTAACTAATTAACCTGTATTCTCAGTTTCTACATTTAGTCTCTTTGAATACAGTGCAGTATTGATTTGGAAGCTTTAATAACGTCTGGATTTCATCAGACTTCAGATTATCATTGCCCTAATTTTGAACTGAGGGCTTTGTTTATAACTGTTTCCACAGACTTGGATACAAATAGATGGTATCCAGCAATAATGCACTATCTAAGAAAGTATTCCAAATCAAATATTTGCTCTAAGATCTTTGCACAGGTTGGATAACATCTAACGTTTTGGAAGCTTTGAGGTTGGCTCTTTTCTTTCCGTTTGATTTTGAACTGGTGGCCCAAAATGTTCAGACTTCTTATTTGCAATACATCTCCTATATCTTGGTCCTTGGTTGCTAGTCTTCTCCCACAGCCTTCATTCTTCGTCTTCTGTGTAATTCTTTTGTCTTTTGTCAGAGCAGGGGCAGGATACAAAACGTCAACAACTCATAGGGACTGTGGAGTTTAGAATAGGTTCTACACAAGTTTTATTACAGTTTTATGTTAATGTCTTTTTTTATTTGTGGTTATCAACTGAAAAAATGACAAGATAAGGAACAAAGTCAGTAAAATGAATTATAAGTCAGGTGTACATTAAGAAATAATTTCATGAATAAATACTATGTACTTATACTTATCTAGTACGGGTAGATTGCTTCAGGAGATCTTCATTTGGCAAAAAAGAGAAAGTTTAACTTGATAACAAGACATTTGGCATATGATTTCAACGGGAAATATTTTCCTTTCCCCTGAATTGGAAGTTTTATACCTTTGCAGTTTTGTGAGGTAAGAAAGTGGTCACTTCCGAAAAGCAGACTGATGTTAATTGTGGCATATTTGACTTTTTCCTGCTGAATTCTAGTATTAAGTATTTCTTACTAAGCAGGCTTTATTTTGTACTTGCTTAGAAAACAAGTGATATTAAAATTATTTCCTCAGTTGTGTTCAGAGCTTGCTGTAAAGAAAAGTCATTAAATGAATCTGATAAATATTATCTACAAGCAGGAAGTAACTCTTGAGTTATTTTTGGTTTAATCAGTAGGCCTAATCTGTCGTATGAGTTGACGACACTAATCGCAGGGGAAGAGCCGAGATAAACAGGAAAGGAGTGTAATGCAAAGATTTCAGGTGGTAAACGGAATAATTTAGACGCGAGATCTGAGGATCTTATGCCAGTTTATTTAGGTTTAGCTAAAGTTAAGGTACATGAGAATGCATTTTACTAGTTTATTTACTAGTACAGAACGATGGTAGGAAAGCAATGAAAAGGAAAAGGATCCCTCTTAAAATCTAACATCCTGTTTCAAAATATAATTTTTGAAATATATATTTTTATTTTTTTTTTATAGTGAAGGACTCTGAAACCTTTATTAAAAAGACTTTTTTTTTTTCAATTTTCCTGAAATATCTATGTTTAAGATCAGTTCTTTTCACTCATCTTAAAGTCATAAAAGGTTGGTACAAACAGGAAGTTCACTTTACTAATAAAACAAGTTGTCTTAAAATTCCCACATGGGGCCACGTTAAACTCTTTCAAAGGAATTGGAAACTTATTTTTCCTTTTTGTTACTTCCTCTCTTTTTCTTGTGACCTGACTTTCTTAAGGGGCAACCTCAGTTGGAGTGTCTCCAGCTCACTGTGTGTAGTACGTGTTATAGTGTGTTTTTTTGTGAGGGCTGGGGGGGGGAGGGGTGGTAAGGGATTTGGCAGCTCCTTTGATCAATAAAGCATAAACAAGAGGGGGGCTTCAAATGGGTTTCATTGTGTCATGGGGGGAGGAGTTGCTGAGTCAGGTCCACTCGTTCTCTGGTCTGGGATAGAGAGTGGCCATGCAGGCTAGGATTACTGGACAGGCCAAGAGAAACTTTCTGAATCTCTCACTACTCACAGCTGTTCCAGAATCCAGCCTAATGGCACTTTGGGATCAAATTAACTCTGTGTAGCAAAACACATCCATATTATTGTGTGTGTCTAATGATAGTATTTATTGGCATCACTTTTATAATGTTGCCTGCTAAGATTCATTCAGCACGACCAAAAAGTAACACTGTTGTATTTTACAAACAAGCTACTGGAGTATGGTGCCTTTTTTTTGTTGGAACTGAGGGGATGAGAGGAGGAGGAGGAGGAGGGCACTCCTAAATAGGATGCTTCAAAAACAAAACAAGTGAATAGTTAGGTTTTAGGTCGTAGCTCAGTCTGCGCCTTTGTCAAGCAGGTGAAAGCTTTGTAAATGTGGCGCCAGATTGTTAAAGCCCCTGACACTCCGTGGTGTCCGAGCCGCTTCCAGGAAAAAGGGACCCCCTGCGTTGAGCCCTGGGACTGACCCTCCCTCAATAGAGAGGGTCCTGCCTGGGAGAGGAGGGCTTCCTGTATTAGCTTTCCATCTTAATCAAGCAACAAGTGCCAACAAAGCACTAATTATCAATGCCTTCACAGAGTTGCGCACAATGCTCCACCCCACCCTCCCCTCACCGTCACCCCCCTCCTTCTCCTGTCTCATCCTGGCAAAGATAGTCAGAAAATAGATGAAGCCACATTGTCTGACATTACAAAAGCCATTTTGAAACCACAACAGCCTCTTAGAAGCTTTTAAGGCGTTTTTCTACTCCCCTCATGTGATGTTGCCATTTTTTTTTTCCGTAGTTATCTGAAGGTTATTGTTATTCACTGGATGTGAAAATATTGACATTAAATTTATTTAATGTCAGTATTGTTTTTGGGTTGCTTTTACTTAATATCTATAAAGATCTACTAAGTTCATATTGTTGGCTAATGCAACATCTTTTAGCTTATGTATACTAATGGCACACAACTTTATTTGTAAAATAATATCTTTTTTGTTTATTTTCTTTTAGATTTTAAGTGTATGGGGAAGTGTGAATTAAAGTTAAGCATAATAAATCAACTTCTCTTAATGATATGCAGTTATTCACATGCTTCCCATTTGTAAGTCTTACTTTTTGGCCCCAAAAGAAAATGAAGAAAGTGATGAAATTAAATATAATCTATTTTCTTTGTCTTCTTTTATTTATTTTTCTTTTAGTCACATTGATAAAACCACCACCTGGCAGGATCCTCGCAAGTCCCTGCTCCAGTTGAATCAGCCTGCTCCCCCAAGTACTGTGCCTGTCCAACCACCGAACCTTTTAAACCCAGCCAATGGTTTGTATTGCATCATGCAATTTATTTATTTTATCTCTTAGCATTAAACTCAACATTGCATTGGAGTTACAGCTAGGTGCATTTGCACAAAATATAGTAAAATACAGGTCTAGTCTAGTTCTTGCTTGTCTGTGCTCTCAGTTCTGACCATGCAGCTGGAATTTGCCCCAGGCGAGGGATAACTCGGGCAGAACTTTACACGTCCTCTCTGTTGTTTTGAAGCTCTATCAGATTAGACTTTTACAAATGAAGTAGCTCTGTTTTCTCTTGTCAGTTCAGTTCTGCCCTGTTAAGTTAAAAAAATTGAACTTTTTCTTCTTCTCAGTCATGTAAAAATGTTTACCTTTTCTTTAATTGATAAACTATTAAGTGGCTACTATACAGAGTATGTTAGCTGGAGACTAAATAGGTAATAAATGCAGCAAAGGTGAGAATTGCTGTTACCTAGTGAGGATAACTTTTTTGATTTAACTTTTTTAAATTCTCCAGGACCCCTTCCTGAAGGCTGGGAACAAGCCATGACACCTGAGGGAGAAATCTACTACATTAACCACAAGAATAAGACCACATCATGGCTGGACCCACGGCTTGAGCCCCGCTATGGTGAGTTTGCTTAAGCCAGAGTAGTTTTTTAGTTTCTTTTGCCTTTTCCATTATTTGTTTGAGGAAAAGTGGGGGAAATTAAGTTTAATTTTTCAAATACGGGTTTACCAGGAAATGCATAGGTCTGTTTATGACAGAATCTGTAGTCTTCATTGACATTAAGCCATAGAACCATTTTTCAAAGAAGAGACACATCATTTACAGACAAAATTGAAAACACCTGTCGACACTATTATAAAACACCAAGTAAAATCTGCATGGTCTGTTTAATTGTTGTCTTAGGTGGTTGTGTGTTTATGTAGATAGAGGGGTGAGATTATTTAAGAACAAAAAAAAAATATCTGAAACAATATTTTATGGTATTTATCATGGTAAAGGTTTAAGCTTTACTCAATCATAACTCGTATATCAGATCCTTTTGTTTCCAGAAAACACAGGAAAGTTATTTTATTTCAATATTTTATGTATAGTTTGAAAACATATTAAGTTGCGGATCCTTTGATTATAGTAACATATAAAAACAACAAAGTGCAAACAAGGAACCAACAAACTGATCACATCAAGGCTGAAGTTTGAAGTTATGGAGCCAAGTAGTTTGGCACGACGAAGCAAGGTCCATAATTCATACGGTGGGGAATTTCTTCTTTTATCAGCAAGTGAAGGCATTTAAACTCACCATTTATTGCCTTGTGTTTGATTTTAATCACTGGCTCATGGGTTTCAGTGATAAACAAACCTAAAACTTAAAAACAGTTATAGATATTTCATTTTATATAATACAATACAATGGGGGGAACCTTAGGATAGATCTTCACACATCCTGATCTCAAAATATAACATGGCTGCTGCAGTAAATGTGGATTTGAACTTGGAAAGACTTTGAATTTTGTAAATCTTTTACACTTAGGAGTATAATTTTTTTTTTTTTTTTTTTGCTATGTTGTTTGGAAACAAAAACACACAGACCCAGGAGAGTTCTTTAAACTGACCTGTTTGGCTCCAAATATATTTTAGAGTCAAGATTTGGACAGGATGTTGTGTTTTTGTTTATAAAACTTTTAGAAAATATCTTCCTTTTAATTTTAGCAATGTGTGATTAGAATACTTATCAAGAGAAACTGGTATGGAATGGTTAAGTTCCCCAATACACAACAGAAATGGGTTTGGTTGAAATGAAGGGAACAAGTTTTTGGAACCTCAAATTGCCAGAGAGCCAGCCAAAATAATTAACACAAATGTCAGTGAACATGTTTGTTTTTAGGCCTATGAGAAATCTCTGCACATTGAGGTAGCTGTACCAGAGCATTGTTTGATGCTCAAAACTATGTTTTTGTTTTTCTGAGACCCCTGTTCAGTTTGAATTTATTTAAGCATGTTGACTAGGGCTGCAACCAACACATTCTTTCCGTTACAGTTTCGATAAATTATCGGATAACGTAAGGTATTTTCAGGATTTTTATTTTAGACAGAATATGAACAAGGTGCAGCTAAAACTAAGGTTTTTTGCAGAATTTAAGGTTTTTCAATAGTTTGTTTTTTGTTCATTGTTGGCTTAATTCTCTGGATGGGGTTTTCTTTCAACAAATAACAGGTTTTAGAGTGTCTATATTTGAAAGTTGAAGGTTATATTTAAGTTTAAAGCTTATTGCACTAATGCAAAATAAGAATAAGGTATAATGCTAATAATATCTCTGGGAAAGATTAGAAAACATTGTTTCATCATAATAAGATGTGATTCATCTCCTCATGAGTCACAGTACCTTCAGCTTACATTGTTGGGGGCTTTCAATCTGTTGGTTCAAACCACATTTCTGACCCCGCCACCCCATTCTGAAAAAGAAATTCCCACCTAACCTTTTGTCTGCCATTTTACTGTTGGCCCAACAGCTGAGCTAGTCATTAATCCCCTGGGCTGAGCTGAAGCTTGACAGTTGGCTTTCAGTGTGTGGCGTCCAGCATCAGTGAATCAGTGACAGGTCTAGGTACATGTGTTGGAACTTCTCTGCAGCCAATCAGAAAGAGCTAATCCCCCATGTGTTGGGAAGATTTCCAAAGATCTATGCTCCTGTCTGAGTCACTCTGACTCATTTCTGCTCAGGTGCCATCCTTTCACTGCAGCCGCGTTCCCCACGGCAGCTCACCCACAGGTTGACAAAGGCAAAGGCAACATGTGTGAATCGGCATGCAGGATGTTATCCCCTTTCATTTTAGCATTCGTTTTTAATGGAGGCCAGGCACTCAAAGCGCGGGTTTATGTAAGCAGTCGTGTCGTTCACCGAGGGCGGACTGGAAAGTTCAAAACAGAGTTGTAAGGGGAGCAGGGCAGCTGGGGAGGGAGATGGCGGCTGCGATCGGCAAAGCTCTTTGAAGATTTTTAAAGTCTTGAACACACAAGGCGGCTGGGCCCCTGAAAGCTGGGGAGAGTTAGAAAGACTGTTAACTCATGAGGTGCCACAGTGATTTTTCCTGCTTTGCGTCAAAGTTTTAGATTTTTAGGTCATTCTATTTATCTATTTTTGTTTCAAGCTTTATCTTCTTCCTAGAAAGAAACTTCATTTCTGTTTATAGCAGCCATATAAATAAGTGTATATTATACATTTCTGCATGAAAATTAATGCCTCTGCTTGTTTAGGTTTTTCCAATTATAAGCTAGCTCTTTTGATAATGGAGGCTAATTTGAGCTTTGGGAAGAAAAGCAGCCGAGTGCCTTTAACTAAGGGTTGTTGCTGGCTGGCTTTCCCCTGTGTGAGGCCCAGCACAGGCACAGCCCCATTTTGCTCAAGCCCCAGACAGACTTGAAACTCTGCCAGGCCTCTTTATTCTGCGGTCCAACTCTTAATCTGTTCCAGACCTTTTCTACGGGGTGGGGGAGGTTGGAAGAGGCAAAGCGGAGGGTGGGGGCGCGGGAGGAGCAGAGCGAAAAGGCCGATGGGATAAGTATGCCTCCTCTTCAAGGTCCCGAAGAGGTGGCAAGCTGTAAATATGTATTGTACAGTTAGTAGCTTTGAAAAGAACCCTCTGATATGAATATACTGTCTTTTATACAACGCTAAGGTTTATTTACAGCAAAAATATTCAACTGCTTCGTGACCTCTGCTTGAGGAGTTGTTGCTACTGATTTTGTAAATAAAAACAATCCGGAAACTGAGATGACAATTTCCATTATCCTTCCTAAATCCTTTTTTTTTTGTACAGTGACTTTTGAAATTGTGTATTTAAGGCCATAGGCTTATATTTCTGTTACTTTTCTTCATGCGTTTCTTCCAGATTAAATTTTATCAGACCATGTCTTGGTAGGTTCGCAGCCGAGACATTTTACAATATGTTTAAAGTCAGGGATAAACCTCTCCACATGATGTTGTTTGTTCATCATTTTTATCTCTTCCCAGAACATCTATATTTAAACTCATGATTTAATTACACACAGGTGAACTCTATTTACTAATTAGGTAACTTCAGAAGGCAGCTTGTTGCACTGGACTTAACTTCAAGAGTCTCTGTTAGAGTCAAGGGGTTTAATTGTGCCACACTGTTATGCAATAATTTGTGTTGAAGTGACAGGGGAAAAAAAACAATAAAGCACACATTATAAAACTGGACGAAAGGTCCTTAACTGTTTTTCTTTACCAGGAAAATCTGTGGTTCACAACAAAGGTGTGTTTCAATCACAGCCAGATTGTTTTTCCACCAGCTTATATCGACACGAAAAACATAAGTGGCCTTAGACAAATATTTACCAAACCTTCAAAGGTGCAGTGCTCTGGTCATGCGGAGAACTTCCCATAGCTGGCACACCCTCACCTTTACCTGCCCCAGGTGATCTTGTGCTGCGTATTTCTGCCAAAGCGATCGGCTGATAAGGCCTCCACTTGCTGGAGTGCGTGAAAAAGACAAAAGGCAGACGGCATTGACTAGTCTCTTATCACCTCGGCTCACCGGCACTCACCACCTGTATGTGCTGCGGATTTACACCATACAAAGCGGCACACGCAGTCACGTCCTGAAGGTTCCAAGGGGCTGCTTAGTGCAAGCTTTCCTTCTGAACCAAAAGTGGTCGTTTCTACCTGTGTCACAAACAGATTTGATGTTATATTGTTGGTGTTTGTGAATAGTTTGGTCTTACTTTTTTTGTCTGTGGGGGAATCCCTGACTCAGCTTTGCTGCAGAAACTCAGGAGCTCTGAAGAAAAAACCCATTGCAATTCACATCTGGATTTAGATACTGCTTAAGAAAAAAAAAACAGATTCAACAAACATGCAGACACACAGCTACTGACATTTAACAGGTCAGTGGTGACTATACACAACTGTTTTAGGTTTTTCATCTCTGTACAAATGCTGCTCTACTGTTAAGTCCCCAGAGGTTTGTTAGAGAACATTTATAAACAAGCAACCTCATGAAGACCAAAGAACACAGCAGACAGGTCAAGAAGAATCTACAATGTTATGTGAATTAGATGCACCAAGAAAGTCAACATTAATATTGCTGCTATGGCATGCAGTTGATTTTGACCAATAATGTATATATTTTGCTGTCCTTTCTACACTTTGATTAAAGAATCACTGCCAAATGGGTTTCTCAGTTTTAGGTAAACAGCCCACAATCCTGTATGTCCAAATAGATATTGCATGAAACACAAATGGATGAAAACTTTTATCAGTTGTTAATGCTTGCCCAGTTACTGATGTTATTAGTCAAATTCTATTTAAGTGCAGATTTTTTTGTGCATCACTTATAAGCTCTGTAAGCACATCTCATAAAACAAATGGAGGTTTATACAACTATAACCAAGTTAAGATATAACCATCCACCTCAAATGACAAGGTCATCAGATAAATTGTTGATAAGCAAAGATAAAGGTGTCCAAGATCAGCTAATGTAGGAGAATCTGCTGATGCTCCATTAAAAAAAAACACCTGGGTGTTCTGGTCAGCTTAGACCAAAACGGGTATTTTTTGGCTACACACATAAAAGGTGGTGTATGATGGAAAACTATATTT